GCCCTATATTCGAAGTCTTAATTTGGACCTAAACTGTCTGAAAATGTGCCATCAGGTCATCAGGGGGGGACTCATTTTTCATCAGAATAAAGTTAGACCGTACACATCGACATTGACACGTCAAAAGCTTCTTGATATTGATTTGAAGGCTCTTTTGCATCCATCTTATCGTCCAGCCCTCGCAATAAGTGATTACTATATGTGCCCGTCTATGGCAAATATTTCAGTCGAATAATTTAGGCCATTATTGTCATACAAAAAATAATGCATGACCTTTAAGTAGATCAATATTATTCATATATACTGCATATTGTGCGCTTATTATTTTATTAATAAGTTTTACTATTTGAAATGTTTAGAAATTTTAAATCTTTTTCTCTTTGAAAATAATTCTTTCCAAAAATGCTAATTAAGTCTCTATGAATTTAGCTGTAAAAATTAAACAAAATTTTTAATATGCTTGATTGTATATACCCAGATTAGGTGCTTTTATAAATATTTTGTTTTAAAATAATAAATTTATATAGAAATATTTTTCATTTGTGACATGTTTAAAGGTTCTGTTAATATTTTGTTTTCTTTTTCTACGTGACGTTGGAGCCAAAAATTTACAGGAAGCCTAGCTAAAATGAGGAACAAAAAATATTTGAATTAACAAAGGATTATTTTACATAACAGAACAGTGAAAATAAAACCAAATTAAAATATTTATATTTCTGTCTGATATGAAAATAATTTATTTGAGACATATTTTATATGCATATGAGACAGCGAAAAAAAATTTTGATTTCCATATTGGTTTTCTATCAAACTCACCTTCATTTATACATATAAAATTTCCGATGTGCATCTATGCCTTAATTTTGACTTTTTACTTAATTTGATTTATTTATTTTCTTTCACTTAATATTTTTTTTATTTTATTTGTCTATTTGTTGTCAGCAAACAGTTTATATAACTTTGTGAAAATGTGCTGCAGGCATATTAATGCCGAGCAATGTCTGCACTTGATAGGCAAAGCGTTACTTTTGGATGCTCACAAAAGAAATAAATTTATAAAAGTTAAAAACCAATGCAACACTGTTATTTGAACAGGCCGACGATTTGTAAAAATATTTTATATATATCTGCCTAGATAATGTCACTCACAGCTTGATTTTTATACATTTGGTTTTGTATGATTTGTTGTGATTATAGATTTTTCTTTTTATTATTCACATAATTTTTTAAATTTTCAATGATGAAGTTTTCTGAAAAGATGGAAAAATAAATGTAAGAATTGAGGAAAAACTAATGTGCAATGAATGCTAATGATAGGTTTGAGGAAATATTTATTATCAGATAATGATTGAAAAAAAAAATTTAAATTTAAATTTTTTTTTTTAATTCTAAATAATTTTTTTTAATTCTAATAATTATTTTTTTTCTTTTGGTAACCATACTAATAATTAATTGTATATTAAAAATTATTTTTAATCACTGAACCTCATCCTGAAAAATTTTTTTGCAATTCTTTCATTGAATATTAATTTGTTCTTAGAAATAGTGAAATATTAAACTAAAATAATTTTTTTTTTCAACAAAAAATTCTTATAATTTTTCACAACGTTCAGTTCAGCTCGAATTAGTGACTGCAAAAGTCATCTTTAATATTCACGCTCTTCTTAAAGCGTTTTCCAGTTGCAGAACATTATTAAAGGTGCACAATCAGCAACAACAACTACAACAACAAACTAATTTTTTATGCAGACAACGTGTCAACAAGATATTGATTGTGATTGCGTGCCGCAGGTTGTTGTAGATGAGGACATTAGCTATTGAGTGATTGAAGGCGTCGCAATATGGCTGCCGTATATAAATATTTGCATAAATACATACATATATACACACAGACACATATTTATATATAAATATTTGCTAACATAAATTTGCTTATTTGACATTGTCAAACACCGTAAATTGGCAATGTCGCCGCGTCAAAAGCGAGAAATCACTAAATACACGCAAATAGCTATGGCGGTGTGAAAACTCATCATAAATGACAAGATGACTGTCAGTTTCAACTGCACTGACAGCCAGACAAGCACGCAGCTGGAAATTTCAAAATTCAGTCACAATCATCTGAAACTGCACAGCGACATAGACGAACATTTTTTCTGAAAAGTCACTTCAATTGTGTTTATTTTCTGCTCATACTACTGATGCCTGTTTTCACTCCTCAAAATGAAGACTTAATCAAATTTGTCTGCCGGTTATATTAGCACAACAAAACTGTACCGCAAAATCAGTGGCACTGCTTGGCAACACATACATACTTGCTTGACGAGACGCTGGTTTGATGCACCAGAGGGACGCTCACGTATTTAACATCAAAATGCTCATCAACTTCATGGTTGACAGAAAACATTGGGTTGAAATGTATGCAGTAAAGGAGTTAGAAGATACTTATTAATTGTTCGTATACATCACAAACTCTACATTAAACTAATAAGTTAAAACTAAGTAATATAAAACAGAGCAAATAAATATATTAAATTCAATAAAATAAAACAAATTAAATAAAAAGTGAAACAAAATAAAATAAAATTAAATTCAAGTATATAAACTTAAATTATAATAAAAAAAAAAATAAAATAAAATAAAATAAAATAAAATAAAATAAAAAAATAAAATAAAATAAAATAAAATAAAAAAAAAAATAAAATATTAAAATAAATTAAAATAAAATGAAATAAAATAAAATAAAATAAAAAAATAACACAATTTGTAAATAAATAAAAAACTAAATATAGTAATACATATACAATGCAATAACACAAGAAATAAGTGCTGTTTCGACCATGCTAAATACCTTATACTAACCATGAGCATATCAAATTTATTACATTTTTGGGTTAAATATTTAGTCCCGTTTCTGAAATGTCGGTTGTGGGAGCTGTATAATATTCCGATTTCAATGATTTTCGCTGTTGATAATTACTCCAATTTAGTTCCGGGGAATATCAAATACTACTCGTTTAGATAATTTGTCAGATGGTTGATCCAAAACCTCTTTTCTGATTAAATCTTTTCTATGGAGCTATAGGTTATAATTCCTGAATGTCATATACAATATATTCGGGCTCAATATTTATTTCTATATATGTATAATACTAAATTTTATGGGCTTATATACTTGTTTGTTAGATTTTCTACCCGAACCCTTTTACTAGGACAACTCGCTTGCTTGTGGGCTAAATGATACAGTCGTCCTATTTTAATACTTTTCAGTAGATTTTTCAATTCATTATTAATAAGCGAGTACCAAATTTTATGCTTTCTGATACTTCATTTATTACAGTTGTCCAATGCCGGGTTCTGGCAAAAAATCTTTTTGATTGATATGCATAACAATTACAATGATTACGAATCTGAAATGAGATTTCAAAAATTCTCAATTCATCAACATGAAAAATAAAAAATTATTATATTTTAATTGAATTGAAATTGGTAGCCAGAGATTTAAGTGGTTATATTTTTTATTTAAAAACTGACCTCACATTCGGTATCAGTGGCCCAGAAAACATTTTTGCTAGGTAAATTTTTTTGTTAGAATTTAAAAAAAAAAACACAAAATGGTGTTTTTTTCGGGAGCTTGACGTGGCGTATACTGCATACGTATTCTGCACCACAAACCATTTGGAAACACAATGGTCCATTTCGTTCACAGAAAGACTTGAGATTTGTAGGCCAGTGTAATGAACGATTTTCAGACTCAAAAAAAAAAACTTAAGATAGAAAATTATGCTGCTTAAAATGCAGGGAATTTTGTAAAGTATTTTTTACTACTTTTGGAGGTAAAACGATGTTAAGTGTTTATTTAATTTTATTTTTATGTACAGCTTATGGTTATATATATTTTTATTTAAAAAATATGTTTCAACTTCGATTTTTTATTCCTTATATATATATATATGTATTATTTTTTATGAGCGAAATTTTAACGTTTTTCCTGGACTTTTTTCTGGGCAACTTCATTGAGCTCTCGAAAAAATGGCAAATTGCCTGAAAAAGAGTAAGTTTGCTAGATCATAGAGGAGTGTTTAAAATAATCTGATTGGATCAGCAGAGATACTACGAATGATAACAGTGTAAGTCTGTTTAATTATTGCTTAAATAAACTGGTTCATTTGATAGAATTTAGAAAGGGATGAAGTGTTATTTAAATAAATATAAAGCAACAAAAAAGCTAAAACTTATTAATTACTTACGACAACTACCATATAAACGTATAGAGTTACTCAGAAATCTCTCAGAAGAGTTTTTGGGCAACGGTATTTAAAAGTGGTGTTTAAGATTTTTTATTGAATTTTTTTTTTCAATTATTTTTATTAAATATAAAGTTTTTGTAAAAAATTCGCTTGGCTCAACATTCTTTTCAAAAAAAAAAGAAAGAAAAAAATGATAACTTCTTCTTAGTAAATCCAGCACAAAGCTGGCTTATAATACAAGAAGAGGACAGTAAAGGAACTATACAAGAAATAAAAAGTTAATTCCAAGAAACCCAAAGTTTATAATTTGCTTATGCTAAAAATGTAATATTTCCAAATAAAGGTAGTCGAATTTAACCCCCAAAATCGATTATAAATCACAAAAAAATAATTAAAATGTGTGAAGTAGCAATGCTTTATACATAATATCTTCAGGTAATCATGAGTCATTACAATCTTCATACATATGCACATACATGCGAGTATGCACCAAGGCCTGAAGGCCCGATGAAATGTATTCGAATAACAAACTGACTGCATTAGTTTCTTTAAATAAATAATTTCCTTACTTTTTTCACCCTTTGCTCACTTATTTATTTTATGTCACTCAAATTTTTCATTAAGTGCCCTACCCAAAGGGGGAAAAAACACTGAAATAACGAAAATTTCACAGCACACACAAACACACATATAAACACACAGTCACACTTTGCTAAAGCAAAATCAAATACTTCGGCTAACTAAGCATACTTTCGAGCGCAGTCAGCTGTTGCGAAATAATGTTGCTGTTTTTGTTGGTGCTGCTGCTGCTAGAGCTGCTTCCAACTGTCCTTCAACTGTTTACTTGCCAACACTCGGCGGTCACTTCATGCGCAAGTTTGCGCCTGCAGAAGGCCATCAATCATTAATGTGTGCACTAACTGTGTTGTTTTTGTTCTTACAACTCGTTTGCCATAACTAGTTGCCTACATTTTGGCATAGCATCGATTTCTGCTAACGGCGAAATGTGGAAATTTGTGCATAATGTAAAATTTATATTTAAATTGTTTGCAGTTTTATTTAGAAAAAAAAATCGGGGTTTCTTTAACAAACGCCTAAATGTAGGCTATAAATTTTGAGTTGGCTGTTATTTGAGCTTATTACATATTTTTTAGCTTGACCAATATCTCAATAAAATTTTCTTTATTTTTTATTATATTCGTCAGTTTTTTTTATTCACTTGACATTTTTTTTTTTAATAATTTTTATTATAAAAATTTTTTTTCACTGCACAAATTTATTTCTCAGCAACGCATTCTCTGTATGGTGGTGCACCAAAAAAAAAGCTTTCGTGTTTTTATTTGAAATTTTTCTTTTTTTCACATTTTCGTTTTCGTATTCGCCTTCACGTTCGCTTGCACTGTCCCATACTTTTGCTTGTACATTTGTACGCACTAGAGACCGTATATATAAGCCCGTCGTACTACCGCACTTATTTTGCTTCGTCACTAGCGACATGAACGCGCGCGTGTTTCCACTTGCCACACAAACCGTACGCGTCAATTTTATATGAACGACTGATTCGGTCATCACACGCAATCCGTTGGTTTTATGCCGCGTAATAATGTCCTGTGTGGACGGACGGCGCTTCGTGTTGCCTTGTTGAACAGGAAGTCTTGGAAATATCCCTACATTTTATTCGCCGCGCAGGCGCTGCGACTGTTCGTGCGTTGTTCGGCTTTCGCTGTTTTTTCACTTGTAGACTGGAATGTGTAGCTGGAGAGTTTTTGCGACGCATACTCGTGGTTCTTTAAGTAAAATCTCTACAAAAAATTTTAAATTTCGCCGGCTTCCAGGCTAGCTGAAGTCCTTTGGTGGAAGAAAAACGGATTTCATGTAGTCGTACTACTGATGTTGCGCTGTAAACGGCTTAGCGGTAAAACGTTTCAATTTTTTCTTATTTGTTCTGTGCATTTTTGTTGCTGCTTTTGACGTTGTAGTCCAGTTTAGCACATTTTGTTATGTCTAACAAGACATTTTCTTCGCAGTTGTTTATTTTTCGAAGCTTGAATGCCCTGGGCCGCAATATTACGTAAAAAATTACTCACATGTACGCTTGTTGAAAGCTAACCAGGATATCGTGTTTTTTGAAGTTATTAAATTAATTAAACAAATTTATTCAAAATGTCTAATCAATTAAAGTCTCTTTCAAAATAATAAAAAAAATAATTGTTTACCAAACTTTCGTCTAATTTTACATGATAAGCTACTTGTATTAAGGCTTTTTTGTAATTCAATTCGGGACCTTTTCTAATTCTTAATTATACTCATCTGAGCGTTATTATACACAAACCTTTTTTTCTTGGTATCATTTATGTTTTTGCAATGCCATGTTAAATGACACCGTTATTGATCATGTCAATCAGTCAAACTTAAAATTAAAGATCATCTTAAAAGCTCTTTCTCAAAAGCTCATCATAAAGTTCAGCAAGCATAGCAAATTGCTCTCATTCGACCATTTCAAATGCATAAGTCAACTTTTTACTCTGTAAGTCTTTCAATAATCTAAATTATTTCGATTCTATTTAGGTTTTCACCCAAATATCTATAATTTTAAGATTACAAACAAATTATTGGAATATCTTGCTATCAGAGTCATCTAGCGAGTATATTTTTGGTCGTTATATTTGCTTTTGAAGATTTCGGATAAGAAAATACTCAGTGCGTCTTGTTTGCTTGCCTATAAATTGATGCACTTATAGTATTTCCTCAGCTGTTTCCCGACGGCTGATGTAAGAATTTTTCGGCTCAGAAAAACACTCGGAGAGGTTGACATATCCTGCCGGCTGCCTAAAATAATTTTATTTATATTATTATTTTTAAATTCTGTATTTCTTTTATACTTTTGGTTGTTGATCCAGCCAGGAGCTTCCACGCGGCAATATCTATGCATGAGTTAATAAGTAACTTAAGATATAAATTAGAGATAAATGTATTGTCTAAGGTGACTACTATAAGAAAGTCCATAGTTTTATAGAATAGAATGTGGTTTAGCCATATGTTTATATGGTAAGCTTTACAAATTTAGAATATGTAACTAAACTAATGATTTTCGCGAAATTTTAAACTTTTTAATATTGTTTTTTTCTTATTTTAATGCCTTTATACTGTCGAATGTTTATTATTTTCACTTTGCAATTTTTTTTTTTTTTTTAGTTTCTTACCTCGACTCAGCCAAGGTAAGGTTAGGTTGAAGTAGTTACTATCCTCAAATTTAAAGCGTTTCTTTCTCTCGAAATCTTTTTTTAAGAAGACAATCAACCTTTTTGCTGTCTGCCCCTTCGAATATACCCAGTAAGAAGTCCCTAAATTGCAGTAGGATAATATATTATGTATTACGAGTTAATATTTCGTTCTTCTCTATACATAGAAACGAATTTAGTTCCTCACTTATATACATATATATAATATATATATTTATATAATTTTTTTTTTTTCAAATTAAATTATTCTTTGTTCAATTTTTGATTTTCAAATCACAAGAACAAATATGATAAAATTAAAATGCTCTATTTGGTGATTTAACATTTATTTCTGTTAAAATTCTGTTATCAAATCTGTTAAATTAACAGACAAACGAAAACTACATAAATGCTATTCCTTCAGCAGAAATTTCTGTTAATGACCAACAGAACTGATCTGTTGAAGAAAAATTACAACATTTTGATACAAATTAACGGTTTAGGGTTTAATTTAAGATTAATTTTTGGCAATAATTAATGGTTATGACAGAACAAACAGATATTTTTAATTAATTTAATTTGTAATCTGTTAACTCAATGATTTCCCATATGAACATAGTTGTACGTCTATGTTAATATAACAGTAGTCATTTTTCTGCCCATAATAAATTAGTTTAATTTAAAAATAAAAAATTGGTGTGATTTTAAAAATAGTAAAAATTACAATTATATTCAAAATTATTAATAAATATTAAAAACAATAAATACAATTTTTTTTGGGTAGGGTTAAGAATATGTCCTTTGCATCGTCACTTTGCTGTTGCTTAACCAGTTTATCCGCGCACTAGAAAACTAGCGCCAGATTAAGACCATCACCCATATTGGAACCACTTTTGTATTACTTCAGAGTGGAGTTCCCAATTTCTCATGGAAAGGCTAAGTGCAGGTTCCGCTTATTTGCTTATCAGTTGTCAGCTGGTGAGTGAAATATTCCACTGTTATTTTTCTCACCTCTGCTTCGAGAGAGTCTCCCACCGTTTTTCCGTTTGCCGTGTTGGAAAAATGTGTACTCTCAGTCATCCTCAGCGTTATTACTATTAATGTATTATGGTTCGTCCACTTTGCCCGTCTTGTTTAGACATTTTCGGAAATAGCCATATCCAGACCGAAAAGGTAGTAATTTATCTCGCCACCTGATTGTTTTTGCCATTTTGTTATGTCAGATATTAGCTCAACTATCCGCCGTCCATAAGTAACGTTACTCCATCTTTCTTAAGATGGCGAGAGTGTTTATATCCTCGCTCCGGTTCACAGACTGCATTGGAAGTGCTCATATTGTGGAGGTGGAGGTAATGCTTTTAGCAGGTGCAGCTTCGTCTTTTACGTTGCCAGTGTGAGGCCGTGATTTTTAAGTCGTGTTGACTATCCGATCAAACCCTGATTTAGTCTCCGTTGTACTTCCTCTGTGTATCTCGCTGTTAGGGCTACTGCCACGTCATCCACATAGCCGAAGGGATAGACATGTCCTTCGGTAAGCCCATACATAATATGACGTCACGGCCAAGAATAGATCCCTGTGTAGCTTGGGACTTGAGCTTTATACGTGGATCACCATGTTTTGCTTCATAGATGAGTTCGTTCTCAGGTAGCTCAGTATTATCTTAAATAAGCCGAAATTTTAAACTTTGATGCCATATTATGTCCGTCCAGCGAGGCTAATAGCATCGTTTTTCTGGATCTCGCGCTGAGTATCTGACACACTTTTGGTCCTTCTATTGGCTTCTACCATGTTGACTCGCACATAGTTCACCAAAGGCATGGATAGCAACTGCCCGAGGTTTTGGTTGTAGTTAGTGCTCAAGCAGCTCATTGGCATATCGATCAGACTAGTAGCGGGACTCCTAAGCCGTAGATCAACAATGAAGACTACTGAGGATGTCAAAAATATTGTTGTGGGAGATAGCGGATGCTGCATCGTTCAAAGCAGGAAACTTATTAATTATTTCCGGGTTTTTTTGTTTTTGGCAACTTTATTTTAATTTTTATTTGTTTATAATATTCGCAGAAAATTTCGATGACTTAAAGATTGACTTTTTTGCATTGCTTTCTTGCAAAAGGCTTGCATAAAAAATCACTTTTGCTATATTCCTCACCGATATTGGATAGGGGACAGATGGAAAGCTGCATATGTGCATATGTATGGCGGGTTATGCAATATTAACCTTAAGGTTAAACCTTCAAATGAAGCACACGCACCCAGCACATGCACAGGTATTGTAAACAAACATATCTAAAATTGAAAAAATAGTCAATATTTGTGTATTATGCACCCACTATTTGCACAGATTGATTGCATTGCAACTATTGAATTTTGCTCTTGCTTTTTCTACATTTTTCTACATTTTTAATTCCAGTCAGTCTGCCATATGATAATTCCAATTTTTGTTTACCAATAGGCCAATGCAAAGTTTTCAAACAAGCAAGTTGAAAAAAGAAAGGCATATCCAAGGGAAAGTCCAACAAACAAATGAAATATGCCACGGTTAGTTCAATTTCAGCATTTACATGCACATGCCGATATATCTATGTATGTGTGTGAGCGCGCTTGTATTGACATAAATATGTACATTTTTGCAAAGCTATGCTAGTATGGGTTTGGCGCGCGCACACATTCATCTGAGTATCATTTACCTACCAGACAAACAATTGATGAATTTTCAGTACTTTCATTGAATTGGTCAGAAAATTTGTTAGCGATTTTCTCTATCTCGGATTTTCTGCATTTTTTCTCATTGTGTATACCTCATACTGAGCTGCATACAGTATACTGTAGAAAATCGAAAATAGAAATAAAAACGACACACTGTTTTGCTGTTCAAATTGCTGGACAAAAAGAATTTAAATTTTTTTTCTAAAAAAATGAAAAAAATAATTGAAACCTGCAGGTGCACGGAATCCGTT